CCAGCTCGCAGTCAGCCCATTCAATCTTCCTAGCTAAATGGGGGGACAAAGTGCGCCCATATCCTCCCTTGTGCTGGGAGATGTGGACACTCAGAAAACCTCCAAGGCTGACTGCCAGGACCCAGGAGATCATCTTGCACAAAAAGACAACACTACACCCATCCCATTCCTTGGACCCTCCTCCTACCTCCTGTGGCTACCCTCTGACCAAGAACATTTGTCCCTTCCTACACACACTATGATTTGATGTGTTTAGCTATTGCCATTCCAGAAAACTACACATGGTTTCCACATTTCCCAGCTGGGGACACATAAAGAAAGAAGAGGTTTCAGTGCTGGCCATGGAGAGCTGCTACTGTAACACAAACAGCCCCAAGACGCAGCATCAAACTCACATCAGCAGCTGCAGCTGCAGCATGGGCAGCATCTGGCGCTCCTTGGTTCGTCTCTTGTGGAAGATGTTGTTCTCCTCCTCCATGACAGAGTGTCTGTCTGTCGTGCAGGGCACATCCACCAGGACCTGCAGCCGCAGAGGTTCTGCATCAGCTCTCAGATAAGATCCAGCTCAGTAAGCCTCCTACTGCAACCTGTCCCTTGCCCGACTCCTCCATCCTTGTCATACTCCAAGCAGCTCTTGTTACCCTGCCTGGCTGATACTGCCCAAACACTGCTGCGCATCCACACTGAACTGCAACTCATCTGGCTGTTTTTGCATCTCAGGAACATGCAGACACAGACGTGATCATCCTCATAGACCTCCTCTGGACTTGCTCCAACAATCCCATGTCTTTTTTATGTTGGGATAACATCACGCTCTCACACATGTCTTCATTTAACATTTCTACTCTATGCATCTTTCTGGTAGGCATTACTTCAGCACCTATGGTTGCAACCACGCACAGCCAGAACTCCTGCAGTGACATCTCCTGGAGAAACAAACCCAGCTCCTAAGGCTGGATGTGAATATCTGGCAGCATGCTCCCCAACACACCCTTTTTCCTGCTTAAGCAATAGCTACCGGGGTGGTCCTAACGGCTGCATCTGGCTTAAGCTGTACTTTGGGAAGACAGATAACTCAGTAGCTAAGGGCCATGAAATCTTGCTCAACAGCTGGAAATACAGCTGGTGCGCAAATGTGACCTAAGTCAATCATCTTAGTCCATAAACAGTGGACAGCCCATGGTCTGTTGAGCTCTCCTGCATGGCAGCAGGCTGCACACCAGGATCTCCCCTTGAGTGAGGATACCTCTCAAGGTTACACCTTGAGGTTGAGGGGACCCTTGCCACAACAGATTCTTGGTAGGTGATTATTAACAGTATGCTAAATTTGCAATCTTAGCTAAGTGATATGAAGGACTGGTTGTGCACGTACAATCTCTTGGACATAAATCACTGACCAAGTCTGGGACTAAGTCTGGATCCAGTTCCAGACTCCCCTCTGAGAAGCAGTTTAGAAAGCAAGGGAGTCCTTTCTGAACCTCTCAACAGGAAAGTCTCCCTAGCAGTTCTGTCTGACCTTGTGCTCTATATGGTAAATAACCAAGTGTACATCAACACTGAATCTTGTTAAACCACTGTCACATTTACTAACGCTTTGGTTAAATCACTCTTTTGTCTCAATAAACTTATTGCTGCTTCTCTCTTACAAGTGCAGCATGTCACTACATCCCCAACAGGCTGAGAAACAATAATTATCTAATCTTCACATTTAACCCCTTGTGGGTGATTGGTTAGAACACGACTTTTAAGGGCTATTACACAGGCAAATAAAGGCACAACTACGGATACCCATATGCTCCAGATCCTACAGGAAGGCAATGCTACTCCTTACGTGGTTTAGCCTTCTCTCTTCCTCTGCATTTAAGATTATGGAAAACTGTACACAAATACTCTGTCCAACCTGGCCCTGAACCCTGCCAGGGATGGAGCATTCACAGCTTCCTTGGGCAACCCATTCCAGGGCCTCACCACCCTTACAGTAAAGAGCTTCCTCCTTACACCTAACCTGAACTTTCCCTGTTTTAAGTTTTAACCCATCACCCCTTGTCCTATCACTACAGTCCCTGATGAAGAGTCCCTCTCCAGCATCCTTGTAGACCCCCTTCAGATACTGGAAGGCTGCTATGAGGTCTCCCCACAGCCTTCTGGCACAGGGTTAGAACTATATGATCTTAAGGTCCTTTGAACCCTAACTATTCCATGATTCTATACCGTAGGATAAGCTGTTGGCTTCCTCCAGAACAGGAGGGAAGTGAAATAGATCGGTTTATCTTCACTGGCTCCCAATCACCTACCTTATGGAAAGTGCCACCTTCCAGCTGCTCCCAGTCTCTTCCATCATAGGATGTAACACTCACAGTTTCCCTGATATTTTTGGGAACATAGCTGTTGAGAATGCTGTACAGCCTCTTTGTCCGGGAAATGGAGACGTCGTTGGCTGCCAGATGCCCTGGGAGGACAAAACAGGCACACTGGGAATGTCACTCACAAAACCACATCAGAATCCCAACTCTTATAACCAGAAATGATGAATGGTCAGACATCAATGGGCTCGGCACACTCTTCCAGCCTTGTTTTACCCGTGGAGGACAAAGAACACTTACCACAAAGCCCAGTCTGCAGCAGAGCCAGAGTCTTGCCACCCGGAGCAGCACAGAGGTCAAGGACCAAATCACCCTGCTGCACGTCGAGCGCCAGGACAGGCAGGAGAGACGCTGCATCCATGAGATAATAGTCAAGGAGCCCCAGAGAGTCTTGCCTGAAAACCACCAGTTTGAATAAAAAAAGCAAAGGGGTGAGGGAGGGAAAGAAAAGAGCAGTTGGAAGTGAGGATGGGGACGTGCAGAAGCAGCGGGTGCTCACACACATGTAGCCCATGAGGCTGGCAAGGACAGCAGGAGGCGCGTCCCAGGGATGTCTCACCGTGCAGGGCGGAAGCGTGTGATGTCCCCCCTGGGGTAGGTGTAACACTTGATGTTGGAATTGATGGAGGCACGAAGTGGAGGCGACATCGCTGCCTGTGTCTCTGTCTGCACCACTGTCCTGACCTTCCCAGGTCCCTCCTGGGACCTGTTCTCCTCTCTTCTCACTTCTTCTGCAGCTGCACCCTGCTGTGCCTTTTTGGAGCCTTCGGACACAAAATCAGTGGCGTTCATCAGCTCCAGCTCCTGAGTGACGTAATCATCAGCAGAGAAGTTGTTGAGGAGGGCACCGTACTTCTGCTCACAGAGCAAGCTGGCGCGGACAGAGGGCCACAGGTCCTTCAGCTGCAGGCTGTAGCTCGCGTCCAAGTGGTGCAAGGCCAGACGTGTGCATGGGATGCGGGGAGCTGTGGCAGCCTTGGGGGAGGAAAACATCAGAGATGTTAAAAGACAAAATACCTCAACATCAACCCCCCCCCCCCCCCCATAACGTTTTCCCTTCACAATCCAGTGCCAAGCTCTGTGCTGCCAGAACAGGGGTACAGGGTGCAAAGAGAAGCTGTGGCTGTCCCATCCCTGGCAGTGTTCAAGGCCAGGCTGGATGGGGCTTGGAGCAGCCTGGTCTAGTGGAAGGTGTCCCTGCCCCTGGCAGGGGGGTTGGAGCTGGATGAGCTTTAAGGTCCCTTCCAACCCAAACCATTCTATGATTCTATGTTTCTAGAAGTCCCCGAAGCCTTTTCTGCAGCCCCAAAGGGTGACCGTGTCCTAAACATCTACGGGCTGATGGTCCCCTGGAGAGGCTCAGGGCTGGGAATGACTGAATGGGGGTGGAAGCATGGAGTGAGCATGCAAGGAGGGGAGCGGCTGTGTGCAGAGCAGCTTAATGGGGATGTAACGGGAGAGGCGGTGCTATAGGTGCAGCGAGAGGTGCAAGGGGGTGAAATGGAGAGACTGGAGGGGTGCAGAAGGGTTAGCGGGGATAAAAGGGAAGGTGCAGCGCAGCGCCACGGGCTGCAGGGCAGGGACCCGCTCACCCACTTCTCCTTGTACCGGTACCGGCGCGGTACCGGTCGCAGCCCCGGTGCCGGTCCCCTCCGCAGCAGCGCTACCGCTACCGCCACCGGCCCGCGGGCACCCAGCGCCGCCATCACTCGCGCTCCGCTACGGCGCCTTCCGGGGCGGGACCGGCAGCGGCTCCGACCCCGCTCCGCCTCCCGAGAGCGCACCCCCGGTGCGGGACGGGAGGAGGCGGGTTTGGATATCCACTGCCAGTAAGGACCCAGCAACAGGATGAAAAACACATCCAGCCCTCCCAAAGGGAACATGTTACACTTACCCTAATAAAGCTGCGTTTCAGTCCGCTAGGGATTAAACCGGGAATCCACCTGCAAAAGCATTATGGACTGCTGCGTTGATAAAGAACAGCCGAATCTAAAAGGTGGTGTTTTTCTTCTCACTTTGATGAGTAGCTGAGGAAGTTCTCGCTGCCCTGTGAAGCAGCCCAGTTTTCCTGCAACTGAACACCCTAGTGCGGAGAAAAAGGGACAGAGGGTGCACAGGGCAGTCCCAGGTCAGCAGAAGGGGCTGGTGATTTGTGCTTCAGAGGAAGCTTCATTTCCCCCCTTAGTGCTCCAGTTGGAGTTTGAGCAGGTGGAACCCCCACCATGCCCCTCTGCAGCCATGGCCAGTCATTTTGGGCAAGGTGGCAAAGCCAACCACAGCCAAGAGGCTCCTCCAGCAGCATTAGGGGACAGCGAGGGCCAGCTGTTTTTACCCCCAGGGGGATGAAACTTTCCTCTCCAAGAAAGGGGCCACTCCCTTTAGTTTAATTTAATGTGATTAACTTAACTGCATTAACAATATTGGTCTGTGGGGCTTGGAAATATATCTTTGTGGCTCCAGTACACAAATTCTTCCCTGTGGGATCAGGATCCAGTCCCTACACCTCATGGATGCACAAAAAGAACACTCCCACAAGTGAGAAGTCTTCCCCCCTGCCACTGAGCTCTGACACCCACTAATTCCACCTTAACCCAGTACCAATGAGGAGCTTAAGAACTAGGAAATAAACAGAGGCTGTTTCCATGGGAACTCAATGTTTAATATGGAAAATTACAGAACATCAACATGGTTTTTGCGTAGCTGCACATCTTCCACAAGAACAGACGCAGAGACAGGCTGACGCTTGGCTGCTGCCACGAACGGGCAGGAGCAGAACTGTGAATCCAGGAACCACCAACATGGGCCGTGGAAGCAGATGGACAACGGCACCCACCTTCACTTCAGGTTCTTAAAGAGTTTGTGAGCAACCTGAAAAGAAGCAAAGCCCTCAGTAACTCGTAGTTTAGGGCTGGAAGGCAGCAGGGTGTTATGATGTGCACCTTGGCCTTCTGAGCCCCACAGCTGTTGCTTTGCAACAGGTCATTCAAGAGAACAAACAAGCTGAGATCTCTTGCAAAGTTTCAGCTCAGGTTAAAAGGGTTCAATTTCAAAATGGCAAATACAACACTGAAAGAGCAAAGTGCTATCTGTGGGGCAGAAACATCATGTTTGACTTATTTAATCTTTTAATAACCTACTGAATTCCAGCTGGAGCGGTCATAACAAGGAGGAAACAAACATTTAACATGAGAAAACATCAAGGCTCACAGTTCTTCTGACCACATCTGACACCTGAACTGCCTGCACTTTTGGAAGCATGGCTAAAGCTTCTCCCGGCACCAGCAGGGACGCTGCACCCGCAGGTGCTGCACTTACGCAGTGGTCCCTGGCATGCAGGAAATCAAACAGCTCCTCTGTGCACTGCTCTTCCGTATGGGACCTGGAGGACACCCGCGCATCGCACTGCTCCAGCCGCTCCCGCGCCTTCACGCATTTTTCCGTCTGCTCACAGTGCTCCCGGACAGTGGTTAAAGGATCCTGCGGGCACAGGACTGCCGTGAGGGCAGGGACACCCTGAAACACCATTTCCCCCCATACGCTTCCCTGAGACCCATTGCTTTAAGAGGAAGCCATATATCCCTGTGGAAGTTAGAATCTGAGCTGCCCCCATGCTAAGCTGTGGATCTGTCAACCACAAAATCGTTTGGGTTGGAAGGGGCCTTAAGATCATTTACTTACAACACCCCTACCACGGGCAGGGCCATGTTCCACTAGATGAGGCTGCTCAAGGTGCTGTCCAGCCTGGCCTTGAACACTGCCAGGGATGGAGCATTCACAACCTCCCTGGGCAACCCATTCCAGTGCCTCACCACCCTCACAGTAAAGAACTTCTTCCTTATGTCCAATCTAAACTTCCCCTGTTTAAGTTTTAACCCATTACCCCCTGTCCTATCACTGCAGTCCCTAATGAAGAGTCCCTCCCCAGCATCCCTATAGGCCCCCTTCAGATACTGGAAGGCTGCTATGAGGTCTCCACGCAGCCTTCTCTTCTCCAGGCTGAACAGCCCCAACTTTCTCAGCCTATCTTCATACAGGAGGTGCTCCAGCCCCCTGATCATCCTTGTGGCCCTCCTCTGGACTTGTTCCAACAGCTCCATATCCTTCTTATGCGGAGGACACCAGAACCGCACACAATACTCCCACTTACCACCAGCTCCTCCTCCTCCTCCTGTGAAAACAGAAAGCAGAGCCGTTACCGACTGCCCGCCCTCCCGGCCGCGACCCGCGGGGCTCCGGCGCGGCCGCGCTCACCTCGGGCTCCCCGGCGTGAACGACGCTGTCCCGCAGCCCCATGGCCCCGCTGCCGCCGCACAGAAGGACTCGGCAGGGTCACCCGCCGGAAGCTCCACTGCCCGCCCTGGAAGCGGAAACGCGCCGGGACCGCTCCAACACAGGGTGGTGCTTCGGGAACGGCGCGTCCCTTGTGAACGTGGTGTTGTCTGCCTTCCTCTTGTCCTCCTTAGGATCACAGCATCATTTCGGTTGGAAAAGACCCTTAAAATCATCAAGTCCAACTGTCACGCCAGCACTGCCATGTCCATTACTAAACCATGTCACTAAGGGCCTCATGTACATGTTTTTCGATCACTTCCACAGTGACTCCACCACTTCCCTGGGCAGCCTGTTCCAACACCTGACCACCCTCTGGGTGGAGAAATTGTTCCTAACATCCAAACTAAACCTCCCCTGGCGTAGCTTATGGAGGTTACCTCTTGTTACGAGGGAGGAGACACCAGCAACCTCCTGGCTCTAGCCTTTCAGTTAGCTCTAGAGAGCGACAGGGTCGCCCCTGAGCCAGCTCCAGCTCAACTAGACCTCCCCAGCATGGCCGCCCGCTCCTTCCTCCTCCTCCTCCTCCCAAGATGGCGGAAGGGTATGTCCCTTCCCAAGATGGCGGCGACAACGCGAGGGAGGGAGGGCGTGTCTGTCCGCAAGATGGTGGCGGTGGGGTAGCAGTGAGAGGGGCGATGGCGGCGGAGGGGCCGCGCAGTCTGTTCTCGCTAAGCGCGACGGCCGTGAGCCGCAGCATGGCGGCTCTGGAGCGGGACGTCTGGGGTAAGGCAAGGGCGGCGCGGGGCGGAGGGGCGCTGGGCCTGGGGCTTGCGCGCACTCTGCCGCCGTCTCGCTCTGGCTCTCCACAGCGCTGCCCGGACATCTCCTGCGGGGGCTCCTGCCGCTTCTCACCGTCTTCCACCTCGAGCGGGCTGAGGGCGCAGCACAGAGAGCAGGTGACAGACCCCTGAGGGGTGCGAGGGACAAATCCCCCTCATACACACACTGAAGGGGTCCCCCCGGGCTGCGGGGATGAGCCCCACACCGGAGGGACCCCCGGCTGCAGGGAGGAACCTGCCGTGGAGGAACAGAACCCTCCTGGCTGGAAATGGGAGCCCTGGGCCGGAGGGGTGAGCGCCTCAGCAGGGTGGCGGGCACCGCAGAGCACAGTCCCTGCCACCATCACCAGCGGGGCTTGGATACCCCGTGTCCAAAACCTTGAGCCCTGTCCCATCCCCGAGCAGGGTTCATGCAGCGGTGTGGGTGCTGCTGTAAGCGCTCCTTTTGGGGATCCACAAACCCTGCTGGTTTTAACTCGCATCCCATGAAAGGCGGTGGGTGTTCATCCCCTCACCGCAAAGCACCATCCTTTCGCTGCAGGGGTCTGCCCCAATGCTGCCCCTCGCCTGCCCTGCAGGCTCTGAGGCAGGGCACTGGGGTGCGGAGCAGGGGTGACAGCGCCTGGTTGCTTCTTGTTGTCCCGCAGGCCTCTCGACGCAGCCCATCTGGCGCAAGCTGTGGGATGATGTGATGAAAACCAGGCCGCCCAACTCGGAGGTGAGGAAACGCTGCCGGTGGGAGAGGGGCACAAGGCTGGCACCCTGTGTTCTAAGCCCGATGGTGCTGCTGGCCGCCTCCAAGCCATTGCTGGTTCTTGTTTCTAGGAACTTGTAGAGCTCTGGACCAAGGCATGACCCTGGTAGTACAATCATTTTGGAAATGGGGTTCATAAAAGGGGCTGTAGTGTACAACCGTGCCCATCATCTCACGACAGCGAGTTTGACCAAAGAATAAATCCTGTCTTAGGGATATGGGATAAAACCAGTATTTGATATCATGCTTACACCTACACTGGCAAAAATTGTGCTGATGTCTCAGAAAGCACTAGAGAAATACTTAGGGAAGACTCAGTTTGGGAGAATGGCTTTGCCTAGGTAAACTGAGGCAGCTCTATTGATCCAGCACCACAAAACAGTCATTATCAGGCAGCTTAATCACAGCCTATAAATTGATGGTTGGGAATAAAATTCCTGATGATGGCTTTTGATAAGCAAAACCAATGGCTTAGCTTCAAACCACCATGTGTTTAAATTTGGCCAGAGGCAGGATGAGGTGAGAGCGATGGGAGTAACTTGTTTTTTCAACAGGTACGCTTAGGAAGGATGTTGAGAACTAGACAGGTTGTGCTAGCAGCAGGGTTTTTTGGACACCACATTTACCATGTTAGCAGAGAAAAGTAATTTAACTTAAAAAGAATGAGGAAAAAAATGTGGCTTTGTTAACATGGCCCTGTTGTTTATTTGCAGAGTATAACCTGTTGGAGGAAGAAGTTCCTTGAAACGTTCTTCTCCAACGTTCTTCACGGTGTCTTGGATGTCTCCTCTGACTGGCGCCTCCATCACCATCACTTCTCCCCGCTGCTCCACAGCTCCCCGCACGTTTCCCAGCTTACCCTCTGCAACATGCTGCAGGGTGCGGTGGAGCTCACTGCTGAGCACAACCAGAAGGTGCTTGAAAACCTGGCTGGCTCCCTGCGGATCCTGAAGTTCCAGCACCTCCTCTCCTCTGACCAGTCCATCAGGTGTTCGCTGGTTTTACTTCTTCACCGGCTGATTCACCATGGCTCTGTCAGCCAAGTGTCCATGTATTCCTGGCCTGTTCCCGACACAGTTCTTCTCGTTCTCATTTTGAGCATGAGTGCTGGGTTCTGGCGCTCGGGCAATGCCCTCATGTATCACAGTAGCCTGTGTGGCTTTTGCAGAGAGGAGGGCAAAGCCCAAAGCCAGGAGCTGCCACGAGCACAAGCAGAGAGGAGCTGTTACGATGAGAGGGAGCGGAGCAGTGATGAGAACCAGAGGGCATGCCCCAGTGCCCCGGAAGAGGCTGACACTGAAGTGAATGAGTGTGGGGCTGATGCTTATCTGAACTCTGTCCTCTCAAGTTCTCCTCTGCATTACCGAGCGTGTGAGGAGGCAAGCAGCAAGGTGCCCTGTGACCACACCAGCGTTGAGGGAGGTTCTTGTTGCATCTCAGATCAGCCGTCCTGTCAGCGTGTTCTTCGAAAGACACGCAGACGACTAAAATCTGCCGTGGGGAAGAAACGTCGCTGCCTCAGACGAAGCAGGGGACCACATGCCGACTCAGAAGACCTGTATGATTTTGTTTTCACTGTTGCTAAAGAGGATAATTCAGGGTTACTCAACAAAAACAGTGCCACAGAGGGAGAAAACGCTGAGAACTGGACTAGTTCCTCCTCAGGATCCCCGTGCAACGGCCATGCTGGCTGTAAGAAAAGAGGAGGATCTGCTGGGATCTCTTCTCTGAAAGCTGCTCACCGCTTCCGAAGCGTATCCACGCTGGAATTGTTCTCCATTCCTTTGACTGGGGAGACATGTCGGACTCTGAGTAACCTGCTGAGCTCCTGGGTGTCTTTAGAAAACTTGGTTCTGTCTTACAACGGTTAGTGGTGTGAACAGGCTGCCTCCTTCCAGCCTTGGGCTGATGTACTGCTTGGGTTTACCTGGATTTTTTTACTGGATTGGCATTGTAAGAGTATTGGTACCTGATCTTGAGAGTGGCATCAGTAGAAATGTTTGAGTGTGAGGACTTGCTTGAGGGAGAGAATGGTGCCCTTCTGCCCCAGCACAGCCCTGGGCCTTGTGCTTACCATTGAGAGGGCGAAGGGAAGAGCCAAATCTCCATCTCCCATATACACAGTCTAGCTTTAAGAATGTGTGTATAAAGCAGTCTGTGTGTTTAGCCTTTCACTTGGGTTGCTTGGCCTTTGGTGCAGTGCCAGCTGTGCGTGCATTGGTGCCTGCATGGGCACAGCTAACACCTTTCTGTACAAATGCTGTTCCAGGCCTGGGTGCTAACATCTCCTGCATCCTCTCAGCGCTCCGGGCCCTGTCCCGCCACTCGGACTGCCACCTCCACGTGCTGCGTGTGAGCGACATCTTCTCCCACATGCCTTGCATGGAGCTTGTTTGCTGCATCCTGAGCGCCTCTCCCCAGCTCCGCACGCTCTCAGTCAGCTTCGACCTCAAAAACCAGCTGGAAGGGAACAGGCCAGAGGGGAATCCAACCTGCAGTGAGGTAGAAATTCCAGGTAGGAATCAGCATTCTGAGTGATGGCCAGGATGTGGCAGGCAGATAGAGCCATAAGGCTTGGCACATAGATTTGAACTGTACACTTACAGTGATGTGTAAGTAAGCAATTACAGCCTCACCTTGCTGATTTAGATGGTGTTGCAGTTTGTCATTTCCAGTCTGTGACATGTTCCGTGGAGCCTGAGTCTTGGACAAAGCATTTTGTTGCTGTAGGCTAACCTGCTGCAACAGCAGCTTTGTACGGGGCTAGTCATAGCCTACTGTCCACGTAGCCATGGGGAGTGTGTCCCACAAAATCTGTGAATTGGTTGGGAGCTTCTGCTCCTATTGACTGTGAGGCTCTAAGTCTTAGACAGACCTTCAGCAGAGGGAAAGCATCTTTTGATTGTTACAATACCACAGGTGATGGCAAAGAACTGCCCAAGCCTCTGGATTGCAGTCTGGGAGCTATAGAGGTGTATTCTCAGTTCACAGGTCTCCCATCACCCTCATTAGCCCTGGAATGACCAGAAAAGCCATGGGGAAAGCCTGAGCGAGTATGGAGTGGGGTCAGGGAAGAGCTGTGCTCTGGGAAGTCACTGACTGGTTTGTGGATGAAGTGTGACCTTTTCTCAAGCAGTTTTACTGCCAGAACACAGTAGAAATTGGTGGCCCTGTGGCATGGTGGGAGTCCTGAAATGAGCCTGAAGTAACGTACATTACCATAGGATTGAGTTGCCATCGAGCTCTACCCCCCCGCCATTGAGGGCAGGGTGCATCACGCAGGCACTGTCTACCAACCTAAATGATAGCTGGGTCAGGTATACAGACCTGGCTACACTAAAGACAGGCACTCCAGGCCAAGCTCTTTCATTGTTGTTTGGTTTTCTTTCCCTAGAGAGCTGCCTGGAGCAGCTGGAGATCCGATTCCCCAGGGAACCTCTGCACACCTCGTTCTTGCTGCCAGTGCTCAAGGCATCAAAGTCCCTCCAGCAGTTGTCCCTTGACAGTGCTACACTGCCTTCTTCTCAGGAGCTTGGGCTCCTTTTGGAGGCTCTCAAAGGTACTCTGCTCACCTGCATCACTGTGACACACAGAGTAGCTTCCTTGCTGGGATCTTCCATCCTTTAGCATGAAGCCAGCTTGGGTGGGTCTATTTCTTCAGTGTCAGCATCCTTGAAGTCTCCCAAGAAAAGGAAGTGGGCATCAGCCATTCCACTTTCTGTGCTGCGGATGTGAATGATCCTGCACAGCAGGATGGTTCCGTTTGAGTCCCCCACAGTCCCACACAAATTATCCACAGACCAACTCAGTTTCTGGGCAGGGTCTTTTTATCCTAATGACCTAGAGTACTTTACCTGAGAACTTGTTTTGCTTTCAGAGTGTAATCCAAATTTGAAGAAACTGAGCTTTCATGATGTGAACCTCGCTGAGCACCAGAAAGAAGTTCTGCTTTTGCTTCAGGATCCCATCCTGCAAGGTACAGGAAAATCCTGGGTGCTGTTGCTTGGAAGGATGCTGCAGGTGACTGCTTTGGCCTGTCTGGTGCTTAAGAGGTGATCTTTAGATGTGTAAAGTTTAGCCAAATGTCACTGTCCCTGGAACAGATCTGTAGCTCTTAGCAGAGTGGGAACACATCTAGTTCTTTGTGCCAGCAGGGCAGAGAGGAGCAGCTGCAAAGCTGTCGTGTGCTGGAGAGATGAGTCCATAGTCTTGGCTATAAACCAAAGATATTTAACCTGCAGAGCACATCCGCCTTTAACTGGGTCAGCTGGCAAAGCCATTCCCTGGGTGTGATCTCTGCTCTCTTCCTGTGCTGCTGTGTGCAACCCACTGCTGGGGAAGCTTTGTTCTTGCATACGGATTAGGGGTTGGAGCTGTCTGCAGGATGTAATTATGGCATAATGAAGCACACCGGGAGTACTAACATGTACTGTCAATCAATTTCTTCCCTAGAAATCACATTTTCCTTCTGCCGGCTATTTGAAAGCTCTACTACCGAGTTTTTGTCAGAAATAATTAATACAGTGAAAAGAAACTCAGCTTTGAAGAGTCTGAAACTGCCTGGGAATCGCCTTGGTGAGTACTGCTATGGGGCCTTGACCTTAAGGCTAGTCCTCAGAGATAACTTCAGGGTTGGAGTTAGGACCATCGCTAGCTGGTGACCTCAGTGCTGAGCTGAACACACACGAACAGAATGGATTTAATTCACAAAATAAGGAGTCCTGAGTTCATTTTTAAAGGCTGAATTTCAGTTGTGTTCAGCAGTGTACCAGGAGCCCAGGTGCTGTGCTGGCACTGTGGTTGCTTTTCTCTGCATCAAAAGCAAGTCTCAGCAGGACTCCAGCTTTGTCTGGACTGTGATCTGCTCCAGACTCTTTAGCAGGAGCACAGCCAGCAGCAGATGCACCTCTGAATAAAGCAGTACAGGTTTTGCCCGAGTTTGGGCATTTTGTGCCCTAAAAGCTGTTAGCAGCCACTAGAGGGATGGGAACAATTGTGTCGAGGAAGTGGAATGAATTTACAGAAATGATAGGCTTTTGGGATCACAGGCCAAGTAGAAATATTTTGAGAAGTAAATTTCATGTAAACCCAGAATACTGTTTTCTGTTCTTTTAAATGACCTGAAGAAGGAAAACTTGGGACCACCCAAGTACACTTAATTTCTAAATTACAGGTTTAACCCTGTAATTTTGGCCATTTTTAAAACAAACCCAGGATTTTTCTACTGAAACAGACTGCTCTATGAGCAAATGTTTCTGTTGCCTTGAACACTGCTTTGAGGGGTGAACTCACTTTTGGCCACTGAGAACAAACTGAGGGTGCAGAGATGAGCCCTGTGTGCATGTGCTTACGACCTTCTTTCTGCACTGTTATCCAGCCCTGTAGCCATTTAAATGTTAGCATCTAACACCCACATTTCTCCCCTCTTAGGGAATCACAGGCTGGTTGCCCTTGCGGACATTTTCTCTGAAGATTCCTCCTCTTCTCTTTGCCAGCTGGATGTCAGGTATTCTGCTGCTCCTAGCACTGAATTTGTTTCAGGAGGGCCAGAGCTGAACTAGGCTCAGAGCAGGAGAATGGTTTTGTACCTTCTTCATTGGAACGCATGCCCAAGAAAAGCTTAGAGAATGCCGCAATGGGTACATACAACCTCAGGGATCTCCAGCATCTTTGAGACATCTCATTGTCACTTCTATAAATGAGTCAAAAAACTCCATAAAAGCAGCTTTGGTTTGCTGCTCCCTTAGGAGGCTGCTGCACACACTTCCTGCATCCTTGTGTACATTTATTCTTGGGCATCAGCACGAACAGCTCTGTTTCCATTGCCCCTGTCAGGGCCTGTGAATGCCTCTGCATTCTTTTAATCATCTTTGGTCTTCCAGCTGAACTGCTTCTCTCTTCTTGAGCCTGAAGGCTCAGGTTGCTGAGTACATAGGCTTGACAGTTTAACCATGGCCGCTGCTTTGAATCCTGATTGTCACTGGCCTTTCCCAAGATAAAGTTCATCATGCAACTTCATATTTATAAGTTAATGTCCTAGAAACCCTCAGGACCTGACACATGCTCTCCCAATTTCCTTATAAGGAAGAGATAAATGATTACTTACTGCTGAGGCCTGTAGGTTGGACCAGGCAGTTGACAGCTGCTGTGAGACTGCAATGCTTCTGGCACCACTTAACCAGCAGCTTGGGTCCAGCAGCATTTTAAGGCCACAGTTAAGTCTACTTCAGTCAGTATAAAGGAGGCCAGGATATTGAATTTAACTTGATAGTGGTTACCACCTTAGTTTTAAAAAGCTTCCAGCCTTTCATAGTGCTGTGCTTCAGTTTTACTGTTCAACAAGAACAGCAGGTACTACAAGGAACAGTGATTTAAACTGCTCAAATTATAGCCTAGACTCTTAATGACTTCTTTTTGTGCTTCTTTCCCTGGAAAGCTCGAATTGCATCAAACCTGATGGGCTCCTGGAGTTCACAAAGAAGCTGGAAGGCTACATCCAGCAGAGAGGGGGACAAATACAATTCACACACCTTCGCCTCTTCCAGAATTGGCTGGACCAGGATGCTGAAACAGCTCAAGAAGCACTTCGGCGTCTCAAAGCTGTGTGCAGTGTGGTCAATGACTCGTGGGACTCCTCCCAGGCCTTTGCTGATTACATCAGTGTTATGTGATGGTGGTGCAGGACCGATGGATGCAGGAGTGGGAGAAAACCGAACAGTTTGAACTAAGCAGTTCAGTCCCTGGCCAAGTAGCTTGCTGTTTGTTTGCAGTCATGTTGCCCCCTCCAACATCTGCAGGCATTTTACAGAGGTTTTGAATAGTTTGTTCTTTTGTAACATTTTTATAACAAAAATATAACTAAGACCCATAATATACCAAAGTGTGATTTATTACTGGTATGTAATATGATTGAATTAAAACACTTTGCTAGATCAGGGGATCCTGCCTATAAAAAACCAAGTGGTTTTAGAAATGGAGTTACCTTAATACTGCATGCATGATCTTTCAGGCCAAACGTTTGACACAAGCTGCAATTGTTTCCCCTTGTACAAATCTTCTTGTTCCTGAGTAATCAATAAGGTTCACATTTCACAAAAGAAATGGATCCTGCAAGTTTCTGATAGGCAGCTCTGAGCCATAGCTGTCAAGAAGAGCATGACTGTGCACATCAAGTACTATGAAACTCCAGGCTTAACTTAAACCTGAAGACAAAACTTGGCTGAGTAGAAGGCACAGACACCAACAGCTTCAGAACCAGGGCTGAACCTGATCAAACACACCAGGTCCAGTTATTCTCAGTTCCCAGAGGCTGTTTCTCAGATGCGTAATACCCACAACAGAGAAAAGCCACTGACTCCTTGCTGTTGCAGTAGACAGCAATGCTGAGAGCCTTCCAGCCTCTCAGCATGCCCTTCTGCTACAGAACAGTCTAGCATGTACTGCTACCTGCTGCCCCTTTCCTTGAAAGGGATTAAAGTGGGGTAGACTGCCACAGCAGCCTGCCCTTGCCCCCACAGGGGACAGTAACCTCCTGTTAGGGGATCCCTCTCTGCTCCTCATGGGAGTGGTGATGAAAAGTGAAGGTGACAGCAGCATCCCATGCAGCCTTCAGCACAGAGTCCTGTAGCCCCCGCTTGTCAGCACAGTGGTGCCACTGGGAGAGGTCAGAGGTGCAGTCAGACCCTTCAGGAGGAGGTCGGACCTGGTGGCCGTTCACACAACGACGACACTTGATCCTGTAACAGAGGCAGTGCAAGATCAGTGCAAAATTCCTCCACTTCTTCAGCTCACAGGCTGTTTAAAAAAATGCAGAAATGCAGTTCATCAACACTGGGATTGACTCCCCTCCACCTGCACCACTGGCAACTGGACTTTTGGACAGGATTAATTATTACCGCATTTCATTTAAACACAGCCATGTGACATAAGGAATGATGTATCTTTTGGAAATCCTGGGGTTCTGGTTTTTGTAGCACCCTCCCCCCTCCATGCTTAGTTATGATGAGGGATGTTGCTTAGAGCAGATCTCAAGTGAACACCCCTCCTACTAACACCTTAGCCCTGTGCCAGACTTCCCATGTGCAAGAGAGCACACCATACTCCAAAACACTCCATCCTGGTTCCACCATAGCCATGGGCTGTGCTCAGGCTGTTTTGGAGATGCCCTACTGAGCTACTACATAAGGAGACAGAACAGCAGAAGCCCTGCCAGCAAGGCTTGTTGCCATGCAGACAAGATACCCCCACAGAGCTAAGCTTTGAGTCAGCTTAAAACTAATCCTCTTCACTTCTTGCCTGAACTAAGAATCTTAACTTCTGCAGTGAAGCATTTTCCTGCACTCCCTGTCCTCTTTCTGGTGGCTACAATATCACAGGTCTCAGAGGTGGGGGAAAAAGGCAGATGATGGAGAAGAGGATTCTTTTAGTCCCCAGAAAAGCACTTGGGTTTGCCTCATGAATTCATAGCAGATGGATTAACCTTGGCAGTGGAAGCAATTCAGCATTTGGAGATCACAAACCACCAGGAAGAGAGCAGCAAAGAAGGACCAAGTTGAGGTCCACCGATTTGAACAGCTCTGATCAATTCCTGTTTTCATTAGCTGCAGTATTTTACAGCCTCCAAACACAGGTAGCAACAAGGTAGTTTGCTCACTTGTCCAGCCAGCACAGTTTTTCTAAGACAACAGGAAGGGAGGACAGCAAGAAAGTGCTCATGTCTAAGTGGTTAACAGCTTGAGAATCAGAGACACACTAGAGGCACTCTCTCTCTCTTTCTCCTGCTCCCTGAGGAACACCTGAATCACTGACCAAACTGAGGGGTTTTCTTTGCTGACCCTAGCCATTAGTTATTCAGCATACTCACTTGTCATGGGTGTCACTGGTGGTGGACTCATTCAACGTGAAGAGCTCCTTCAGCTCCCCAAGTGAGAAATGCCTTTCTACATCCTGCTCCTCATCCACCACACAGCTACTGAGGGCCTTCTTGTGGGTCTGGCGTTGGAATATCTTCTCCTCTATGGTCCCCGTCTACAGGAGAGATAGTCAGAGATGAAGCACAGTTGGGACACTAGTGTTAAAGGGAAAGTGTCCCAGATCAAACACCATTAAGCTGTCAGGACCACCCAGTGCCTTGCCAGACTAATCCAGGTGACAGGCAAGTTTTACTAACTGCACTCTAGCCATATCTCATGTGGTTACAGGAGTAATTCAACAGAAATGTGGATAAAGAAGAGGTGAAGCTGTCGCTTGTGGCTGGAGCTCACACACTGCACTGGGTTGTGCAGACAGGAAGGAAGGGAAAGAAGTTGAGCAGCTATAGCCACTCCTGACAAAAAACTAAAACTAAACCAAATACAATCTCTTCCCAGAAAACAAGGGCTTGCCCTGGGTGCGAGGCACATCAGCAGTACTTGCTGGTTCACCCTTGCTGTCTGGAGGGAGATGCCTGCTTCTAGAACAGTTGTGCAGAGAGCCCAGTACAGTACACTATATTGTTAAAACAAAAACTTAAAAGAGCAAAATGTCTGTTTTGCAAACAGAGGTAATACAAAGGAGGGGGTGATTAGTCATGATTCACAGACCAGTTGCGTAGTTCTAAAAGCAAAGGAGCAACCTGCTTCCAGGTGCAGCCAGGTCAGAGAAAAAGAAGAGACAGAGTATGTGTTTTGTCAAAGTAAATTAATAATTGATCAAAGGAACACAAGCTTACAAAATAAACCAAAAACTAACCAAAACAAAAAAACAGAGTCTGAACTAATGAGAGGTGAAGGTGAACAAGGGCAGACAGGGGACTGTTCTGAGCAGTAATCACTATTGGCACTGCTGGACAAAGCATTCAAGAAGCAAGATTAGTCTCCTCTGTGTTTTTCCTGTACAGAGCAGCTACTCCACCTGCTAACTGGCAGCCCTATTCCAAAAGCTGCTATATTTCTGGGAATCATTTATTAAGTACACATACACCCAACCAAAACAGACTGCAGCCAGACTGGAAAACAGCAACTTTGGCATCAGACACCCCACAAAATTAAATAACTCAGATGCCTAAATGACATCAAAGTAGCATCTTGTCTGGAAAGCCACTTTTGTTTCTATTTCTGAGAAGCCAGTCACCATTAGAAACGAAGGCCTGCAGCAATAACCCTCCAGCTTGAACCTTCATGGTTTTTCACAGCAGCATATCTAAGGGCAGGGAGCAATTAAGTTCCAGTCAGTTCTGGTCACCAACATAAAAGAGTTCTTCCCTTTCTGATCACAATCACATCAGCTGCAGCCTGGGCTGGCACCAAGAGCTCCATGTTGAGGAGGTGAGAGGAGTAAGACTCACCGAAAGCAGCCGATAGATGTAACATGTCTTCTTCTGGCCATCCCGCCACACACGAGCCATGGCCTGCTCATCGTTAGCTGGATTCCAGTCTGGGTCAAACATAACCAGTCTGTTAGCCCCGATCAAATTCAAACCACAGCCACCTGCTTTGCTGCTTAGCATGAAGATAAACTCAGGGCTCTGTGGAAAAAGGCAGGTTTGGATTGAACTACAGAGGTAGGCATACTTTTAGCTCACAGCATTCAATGCTGGCAGGAAAGCCGCTCACATGTGGTAGTTCTACTTACCGAGGCACTGTTGAATCGCTCCACGACCTTTGCTCTCTTTTTAATGGACATGGTGCCATCCAGCCGGACATATAAATACCTGGAATACACAGCATTTACTACAATCAGACTGCTGCAACCTTTACAGCATCCTACTTGAAAGGGAAATCTTTCACAAAAGCTTTTTAACAGTGGCCTGGGCTTTAAGAGCTTTTGCAGAGGGCCAGAACTTTTCTGCTGAGTGACCTCAGTAGCCAAAGCACAAGGCACACTAGTTCCAGTTCAGGAATGTCTGAGGTAAAAGACAAATCACAAGTTCCTGCTGACAGAAACTTTAAAAATAACCAGTTTCTTTTACAGTGCAGGCTGCTCCAGAGTTAGAACTTCCACTGAAACAGATCTCTCATGATGTATGAACTAGGTGGTTGGCAGTAAGGTTTGATTAAAGGTAAGATGATGCCAAGTCTTGCCCCAACCCATCCCATTTTGCTGAATCCAAAGACAAACCTTCTGTTCCTGCAGAGCTTTTCAAATAGGTCCAGTGTTTGCGTGTAGTTAGACACTAAAACCACCTTATCATTACTAGTGCTTTTTGTAACAGCAAGGATGTAGTCCAAAACCAGCATCTTTCCTGAATAAAGAGGAAGAAAGAAGAAAGCTAGAGCAGAAGTTCCCGAATTCCAAACCTCAGAGGGGCAAAAGATACTAAATACAGTCTCATGACTGTTAGGCAGCACATTCATACTGTCCAGTTCCACAGTACCTGAAAGCTGGGGCTCCACAGATTTGGTGCTGTAGCCAGCAGGGAACAAGTCCAGGGCTCCCATAAAACCTTCTTCCTCTTCCACACACTTATCATGAATAAGAGCAGGGTCTGGAGAGCAAACAGAGCTCAGATTGTGGTGTGCACAAGGGAGACCCAAAAAAAAAAAATCCCAAAGGTGCAAACCCCAAACCTACTACATGAGTAGAACAACTCACGATTGCAGAGCTTCTTCAAGGAAGTGATGGAAGAGAGAGATGACACACTGATTTTGCCCTCCTTCAGCTCCTCCACTGGCTTGGCTTGCTTGAGGAAGTTCTTGTACAGCTCAGCCTGCAGAGGTGTCAGTCTGAAACAGACCAAGAGCACTGCAGTCTCAGCCTCCAACCAAACCAACCCCATCTTCCCTTCATCTACTGAAGGGTGTTCCTTTTAGCCCTATTATTTTTTTAGCTACAGCACAGAAAGCCTAGAACTGCCCCCAGGGCTGATGGCAGAGCATTGATATCTCAGCCCAGAGCTGGAAGAGAAGCTTA